CGGCCTACTGGACCTGGTCTTGCTAAAGTATGGTGTGTGCCTAAACAATAGGCCACTGATGCACAACTGTAGTCCAACATCAATTACGTCTGCAGCCAAGGAGTTGATTGCAAGCCCATTCAACCAGGCGGTGCTTGTTACAACCCGAACAATGCTAGGGCTCACGTGACCTATGCCATGAACACATTTTACCAGACCAAGGGTCGCCAGCCCTACCAGTGCGACTTCTCCCAGACTGTTGTTATCTCTAACCAGAATCCAAGTAAGTATCAAGGCTCCTCTATACATATTTCTATGTGCTAATTAATAATGACATGTTTTAACTCCTTATTCTGAAAAGCCTAACCTGAAGATTCTCAATAATACGTAGATTGATCTAAGTTTTAGGCCTCATACTCTCATATCAACCGTCTTTTTTTTTTTTTTTTGCTAAACTGAAATATTTATGATTAAAACCGATTTAAGCTAGTTTAGTTGTTAATCAAGACTAATATTTGATCGATTTTCTAGTATACTTGTCATACATATGTAGCCAACCTACCGATTAAAATTAGTTTTTATTTGATAACTAAAAAATTTACAATTGACTTGAACAAGGCCTTAAACATGCTCTCACATGTTAATTAATATTACGTTTTGCTCATCAAAGTGCGCTAAGTCGTGCCTTTTAAATAGTTTGCTCATTTGACAAATGAGCAACTAAGTTATTATTTCTCTTATTTAATTATGGTTTTTAAGATTAAATAAAATGTCCAAAATAACTATGAATTGATGGGATCATCAAATCGATGATTTGGTAATGGAACCCCACAGGTGATCAAAATTCATAAATTATTTAAGTTCCTATTTTGAAATCATTAATTGGACATAAATGATTTCAATAAATGGACTCGCATGTAAGATTGATTGGATAGCGCAGTTTCATGGGCTATAGGGGCATAGAGATGCTCGGTCAATCACATGGATATGCATGAATGATGCATGATCGAACTATTGACCTACTTTGAAGTTCAAGTATAGAACTTTCGGATATATTAGTGCATTCCTTTGACATGAGTGGAACATTGATTTCATTCAATGATTGATCTTATTGTGGTACATCCAAACGTCATTCCGTAAAAGGGGACTATAAAAGATGTTTCTTAGTTACTTCAAAAGTTGAGTGGGAGCTTTGGTTGCCTCAATTTTGGATTGAGTCTACATATACAATTAGGAAATGTGTCATGGCCGCTCGAAGAGGGAGAATTAAGAAAATACGTGGCCACGTTCATTTGTGTATTACTCAGTAATCATTTGGTTTTGTAATTCTAACTCAGATTTCAAGAAATGATTTGTAGATTAATATGATCTCGACATGGGATGCAATCATATTATCAAATCGACATATATTAACTTAAGGAATTTGAATATTGCACATTTGTCTTAGACAAGTGGGAGATTGAATGATTTATGTCTTCGTCAAGTGCAATTACTAGATATATAATGGATCAAATTATGGAGATAATTAAGTTCGTCTATTTGGGTCGTCGTTATATTATAGCTAGAGTAACTAACGATCTTTGAGCTAGTAAAATAGGCCAAAACCCAATTGGACGGATCCTATAAGGTCACACAAAGGGCCTAGATCAAGCATAAGAGGAAAAGGCCCATGATGAGCCTTCTCCCCCAGGTAGCAGGCCATATGGAGGGATTTGGAGGGTTTTTGGGCTTTTTTCCTAGTCTAATTATAATAGGATTATAAATAGACTAGGTTCCTAGGGGTGAAGCGACAATTCATGATCAGTGAGATCAAACCCTAATTAGAAAACACGAAACCCAACCCCTCAAACTCCCTTCTCTCTCATAGCTCTCTACTCCTCCCTAGGCGCTGGTGGTGTGCTCGTGGTGGTGGTGTTCGTGTGGTGTCCGGTTGTCCATTAAAGGTGGTGATCGCGGTTTTCCCTTCACTCAACCAATCTAGTATTGGTAGGGGTGTACACCGGTCCAAAACCGGACCGGACCTGTTTGGACCGGGGACCTGAATTGGGTAATTATGAGGACCGGGGACCGGACCTGAATTAACAGGTCCGGTTCCGGGCCAGACCTGAAAAATCAGGTCCGGTCCGGGTTTGGACCTAAATGGACCTGTTTTGTGTCTTTTTCGTTTTTTTTTTAATACAAAACCTGTTGGACCTGCATATGGACCTGCATATGGACCTGTTTTGTAATTTTTAGACCTGTTGCATAATTTAATAATTACATACAAACCAAAATTATCAATTACAAAACTACATAAAGTTTATAAAGCCCCGATTCTCAAACACCAAAAATACAAATGAGTCCACCGAAAATACAAATAAGTCCACGAAAACTCAGTTTCAATTTTTCAGAGTTTGGTTTTCTTCTGTTTTTTTTTTTTTTTTTTTTTTTTTTTTTTTTTTTTTTTTAATTACGATTTTCCCGGGTTTCAGGTCCGGACCTGAAAACCCCGGGTTTGGACCGGGTCCGGACCGGGACCGGGAACCTGGATTTTTAAGAACCGGGACCGGACCTGAATCAACAGGTCCGGGTCAGGTCCGGTCCGGTTCAGGTCGGTTCAGGTCCGGGCCAATTTTTGTACACCCCTAAGTATTGGTGGACGCTTGTTCGAATCCCGTGGAATAAGTAGAGGGTTCAAGCTTGGGGCTCTATTCTCTGCCTGATTTGTCAATCGAAAGCTACGTGGAATTCACGCTTCAAAGGTATAATTATGTGATTCTTGTGTGTTATGCATGTGATCCTGTTTCAGGTGCGTGTGAATGTGATTCATGAAATTCCGCTTATAGTACCTAAAGTCCAACAGCTAGAAGGGTATTCATATGTTGACTGGGGAAGTTGTGCTTTTAGTGCTAAATCACTATCAGGGTACTGCATTTTCCTTGGAAGATCTTTGGTGTCTTGGAAGACGAAGAAACAGAAAACAATTTCCAAGTCATCAACAGAAGCTGAATTACAAGAGCATGTCACACACTACTAGTGAATTGGTATGGATTGATGATATTCTGCAAAATTTGAAGGTTATTGTGCCTAAACCTATTATTCTTCACTGTAACAATAAATCTGCAGAACACCTTGCCCAGATCCTATTTTTCATAAAAGGACTAAACATCTCAATATTGATTGTCACTATGTGAGAGACCATATAGAATCAGGTTTTATTTTCTTGACACAATCATGTTCAAACCACCGAGTAACTAGGAGATGTTTTGACCAAGTCACTAAGCCAACAACAACACAACTTTCTATCCTTCAAGTTGGGTCTTGTGACTCAACCCAAGATCCAACTTGAGGGGGGATGTAGAATTAAGCATTGTATACTATCACATGATGAGCATGTGATCTATTTTTGTATGTATTGCTTCCTACCCGTGGCACTGTTTGATTGGTCATGGTAGGTAATGACTTGTAATTCTCTAGAAGGTTTCCGATCCTAGGTTAGTATCTTTCTAGGGATTGTAATGTGCCTTAGTATAAAAGGCAGTGCACTGTAATAGCAGCGCCGTGAGTGCACACAAAAAATCAATTCTAAAATCATCAAAACAGAATGAAAAATATGACAGCAAGTTTGCTGTAAAAATCATGTGATTTCTTTTCTTTTCAGAAAGTATGTTGTTTTTAAGCATTAAAACAAGTGCATATCAGCGCATAGCACCTATTGAAAAACGAAGTGTATAAGAGGGCAGAAACTTAATTTACCAGGCATTCGAAAACTTGAATATTCCACTTAACTGTGCTGGTGGTACATTTAATACTCCGAAAATGTACCACTGAAATGACATTGGTACATTTAATCAAAGTGGTACGTACATTTTGTACTTTGAATTGTACCACCAGAAAACCAGTGTCATCCTATACACTTTGGTGTTATGCGCTAATACTTATTCGCATTAAAACTATGTATAGTACTCTTTTATTCCAAAATTCAATCAAACATTATTACGGAGTTACATGATATTAAACCTTTAGAATTGCGTACATAGGTATATATAAGATCCAAAAAAAAGGTACCAATATTTTGTTAAACCAAATTTAGAACCTATCAACAAAATAATTCTATTGAATGTTAATTCAAAATTCTATAAAAGTATAATTAGTCGTAGTAATCATATTATTTCAAGGTTAATTATTTTTAGTTTCACTTGTTTAGGGTTGAGTAATAATAGTTCGGATTGAATTTGATGATTACATGTTAGTTTTAGGTTTGATCAACAATGAGTTGGATAAAATTAAATTATAGGCACCATAAGTTAGGACGACAACAGCAGGTTGTGTAAGGCTATGATTGATTTCGCATTCTAATTGGGCTAGGTATCAGTTTGGGTTCAAATTGTTGTTTAGTCCAGAGAAATATATAGATTGCTAGTTAATATCAAACCGGTGCTAGTTTGTGTTTAGTTCATAGAATATTATTTTAAATTGGTTGATGGTTAATATCATCGGGTTGATTACGATCCCTGTTATGGTTCAAACGATCAGTAGTATCATCCATTATAATTGTTCGAGTATAAGTTAAGTTCAAGTCATTGCTAGTTAAGTGGACTTGACAAGTCGGTTAATTTCAGACAGCTCTAATATGATATTAAATGTTATAATTCTTGTCATAAATTATATGTATAATCTTATGTACAGAACATAAACATGGGGTCAAAGTAGTCTATGTAAATAGCTAGTGCAAAAGTTAAAATAAGGCATTTACTTTGAAATGGATGGAGTAATCAATAAGCAAATTTATTCATTATTATAGCATCACACAAGTTCAAAGGATAGTATTTTTACTATTTTATTAATTGTGAATGGTAATTAATTTTATTATTTGATCAAACTTCATATTAAGCATATTCAAATTTTCTAGTCGAATATTATTTCATTTTATTGTATTCCTATTGTAAGGAATTTTAATTTACCGATTTTCGAAAACCATAACCATTAGAATTTTACTCAAATAAGCAACAAATAAAGGGAAACCTCTCCACAAATCTTCATAAAAAAAATATAAATATATATTTCAATTAAAAGTCTTTAACATAAAGCCTACAAACTCATTAAAATCTATTTTCCCATCATTATTTTGATCAAAACCCTTAATCATTTTCCTACAATCTTGCAACTCTACCCCTTTTCTTATCCCTAAAACACAAAGCACTCTCTGTAATTCCCCTGCATCAATAAACCCATCTTTATTTTGATCAAATACATCGAAAGCTTCTTTTACCTCTTCCAAACTTGGTTCATCTTCAAATAAATTAGATAATTCTTTACAATCCCACTTCTTTTGAAGCTCTTCTCCTTCAAAACTATGTTGAATTCCAAGTCTTTCCATGATCATGTTTATATCGCATCCAAACAAGCAATCATCATCATGATCAATAGATACATTGTTCGAGCTAATCAAAGATTGCTTCCTTACAATAATATTGTTGCTCTTCGGCTCAAACATGATGGCCTCAGAAGAGTTGAAGAAATGAAATTTTGCATGAAAAAGTGACCAAGAACTCATGAAGAAATTTGACAAGTTATGTTTCAAGTCAAAAATAACATGTAGGAAAATTAAATCAAGGAAATTTGAGGAAAGTGTGTTGTAAGATGATGATGATGATGCCTTCTCCATTGTAATAATATTAACTTATTTATCGAATATTACCGCTTTGCTAGCACGGAGGAAATTCGCGAATGGTTTGATGGATTGAAAATAGGCATGGTGTCAATTTATATAGGATTAACGTACTTTTAAAGGGTTAGAAAAGCCGAATAGGTCAGGTGGTTTATTGAAGGTGTAAGGGAAAGTTCATGGATTTTGCTTTGAAGTTGAAATAGAAGGTTGGAGCAAAATAGGTTGAAAATTGTGTATGATAAATTACTTAATAATTTAGGATTCCTATAAGAATTATATCTTAGACGAACTTGGAAGTTTCCTTCATATGTTGTGGAAGTATGTGGCATCAAGCAAGTCAATAATATGAGGCAGACTTTTGTTATGGAACACTTTTCTCCTAACCCATTAGACTATCCTTTAATTCCTTTTGTCTCTTTCCCTTAGTATAAATAATATAAAAAAAAAACACGCAAAACGAAAACAGAAGAAAAGAACATACACAATTAAACACAAGTATGGAATTCCTCCACCAAAGGCCTAAAAATTTTTTAAAATTTATATATGCATGGATGTAAGGTGCACTTACTGATATTTTCTACTTAATTAATATTTTTAGTTCATTTAAAAAATTATATATATCAAATGAACAAAAAAACTCCCCTTGATTTTTCAAAAAAAAAAATAAAAAAAATCTCCTTGGGTGCACTTACCTCTATATACACCCGGGCTATATAAAAGGTGTTTCCAAGGGCCACCCTTCCTAGATTAAGTCGTTAATTATAAACAAAATCTAAGTATATTGGTTGAATAAATTAATTTAAACTTGATCGTATTTGTACCATACGATGTTAAAATATAGGGAAATGTTAAGGGCTGCATATAAGTATTTAATATACTTCTTTTTTTAGTATTAAGTTGGGAATTTATCGGCAATTCACAAGTAAATAGGTGTAATAAATGTTTATTTATTGTCTATTCTTTCCACTTTTAGCTTCTTATATGCTGCCCTTAGGGTTGCATATATCTTTTTCCAAAAATATATAAACATTATTTTATCAAGTGAGATGTTGTTAAATTTGTGTTTATATATTTATATTTTTTAACTAATTAATTTGTATAAGTTTTATATAATTTCATATTAATCAAACAATAATTAAAAACTAAGATCTACTCTGATTTGAGATAAACTAGTGGATCAAGTAAACTTATTTTTATACGTTGTACTGAGGCTATATTCAACTCCCCTAATTAAGTTTTTTAATATACTGTGATTAGATTTTCATATTTACTAAACTTTGACCTTATTCAATGCAACTTTTCTAAATGTCATATGAAATATTCACAAGTAAAAGCAAATAAACAAAAATGGTTTAATCTGTTTTGGTATGAGTTGATTCGGTCATTTTTTTTTTAATAAGCAAATGTTAGCTTACATGAGCAGAACTAACCTCGGGCACAAGGTAAAATAAAATGGAAACTTTCTCATGATCCCCTTTTGCTTATTATAGAACGAATTGCGGATCCTTCATCTTGTTTTGTGTTTATAACGGAATAATTATTTGTCCACGATTTATTAGTTAAAATTGATACTCAATGTATTTCTTTTTTATTCAGAAGAGGTTAGCTGGTAACCGAAAAAGGGGAAAAAACAAACAAATAAGCAAAAGCAGAAATCAAAAATAAAAAGAGACTAAATTATGGAGGGACTAGGCGTGGTAAAGCCACACCCCTAGCGTCCTTCTATAAGATACGACCTAACTCCGATGGAACCACAGTGATAATAATCAATTGAGAGTCCAAAGTGACTCCGCAGTTGGCCAACCAATCCGCCGCTCTATTTCTCTCTCGATACACATGTGCTACCTTGATTTGCCATGCCGTCTCATTAAGTAACTTCTGACAGTATTGAATAGCTTGGCTATTTTCCCCTCGTATTGCTTCGTGTTGCCTTAGAGCTTGCACACAGGTCAGACTATCCAGTTGAACTTCCAGCTTTGAGATTTGAAGGTTCTTAGCTAGTTCCAGACCTCTCATGAGAGCATGCACTTCTGCTTTGAATGCTGAACATACTCCAAAGTTTGCTGCGAATGTTGATATGAAATGGCCATCATGGTCTCGAATAATTCCACCACCCCCTGCAATACCTGGGCTCCCCTTTGCTGCCCCATCGCAGTTCAAGGCATACCATCCAAAATCAGGGGCATGCCAGGTAACAGCCACTGGAATTCTCTGCTTATGTTTGTGGCTATCTTCTTCTGAGATCTCAGTAAAAGCTCTACAGGCCTCAGCATATCTAACTTGTAAAAAAGCATTTATATCCACCGGGATCTCATCACTTCTATTAAAGACAAAGAAATTCCTCCATCTCCAAATCCACCAAATTGCCACCCCAAAATAAGTAGCCCAGCATTCCTTATCCCCTCGTATATTTAGCTTTAAATTTCGCACAAGCCAATCCTTAAGGGAACCTTGAGAAAAAATCTGCCAGTCATTGTGAGGGACAATCTTACGCCATATACTACGAGCATTGGGGCAATCTCGAAGAATATGGAGGGTACTCTCCTCACTAGCACCACAAATAAAGCACTTTGCATCGTCTGTTAACTTTCTCCAAAAACGATTCAGATTTCCAAGTATTCGATCGTGACAAGCAAGCCATAAGAAGGCCCGAATTCTCTGTTGCATTGGAGCTTTCCAAATTGTATCCCAGCAGTCATCATCTAGAACATCAGTTTCGTGTCTCATTATGCTAATCACAGAGTTGATAGTGAATTTTCCATGTTTACTGTCCCTCCAATAGACGAGGTCTCCAAAATTCGGGTCTGCTCTAAGCTCACGACTTTGAATGACTTTCATCACCTCAGAAGGTAAGTAAGGAGCAATAATATTCCACCTCCAGCCAACATTTTCCTCCCACATATCTGCTACAGTAACTGATGCTAATTCTATGGGTAATGGTTGTATCACAACTTTTCTCAAAGGTTCCTCCAAACACCATAAATGATCCCATAATAGATTTTTCTCACCATTTCCCACTGCTACTCTTGTGCCTTTCCCCAGAAAAGTCGCATTTTCAGTAATGCCACTCCACACATTCGAACTGCCACTCTTGGGTTTGAACATATCAATGTCGCATCTCCCTTTGCAATACTTTGATCTTAATACTCTCGCCCATAAAGCATTTGGTTCGGTTTGCATCCTCCACCCTAACTTTGTGATAAAAGCTGCGTTTGCTTGTTTTTGCCGAATAAATGCCAATTCCACCTTGACTCTTTGGTCGTTGAAGTAACTCCCACGAAAGGAGATGAACTCCCCTTTTTTCTTCATGCCCACCCCAAATAAACTTCCTGGTTTTCTTGTCAATTGCTTCACAAGTCGTTCGGGGTATTTTAGCAGTTTGCATAGAGTATAAAGCCATTGTAGAAACTGTAGACTTGGCTAATGTAATCCTTCCTGCCATGATTTCCATCCCGCAAGCCTTCTATCAATTTTCTCAAACAAATGGCTAAAAGTTTCTTTTGTAACTCTGCTAGTCAAGGTCGGCATACCAAGGTACATACCCAAATCTTGAGTAGTGTCCATCCTTAGAGCTTCACTAATCTGGGATTGTTCTTCATAGCCAACATTAGCCGAGAAGTATACTCTAGACTTAGGAAAGCTTACTTTTTGTCCCGAGGCTTTGCAAAAACGCTCGAGGAGTCGAGGCAATCATGTATAACTTCAGCTTGGTTTATGCTCGCCTCAGCAAAGAGGATAATATCATCAGCAAAAAAACAGATTAGAGAGGCAAGGTCCATCTCTACTAGCCCGAATAGGCTTCCACCTACTTTGGATAATAGTTTCCTCAATAACTTGGAAAAACGCTCCATACACATGACAAATAAATAAGGGGAAAGAGGATCCCTTGACGAATTCCAAGGCTAGGCTTGAATTTTTGTGTGGGTTCCCCATTCCAGAGCACTTGTAAAGAAGCCGAAGTTATGCATTCCATTATGAGTTCTATCATTAAAATCGGAAGGTTCATTTGCACCATTATGTCTCTTATGAAAGACCAACGTAGCCTATCATAAGCTTTTTCAAAATCTATTTTAATGGCCATGTAACCTTTTGCACCTTGTTTTCGTCTCATGGTATGAATAACTTCTTGGACTATGACAATGTTATCCGATATTTGAGGACCAGGCACAAAGCTATCCTGTGTATTAGAAATCAAATGTGGGAGAACCGGCTTGAGTCTGTTAACTAGAACTTTTGTAATAGCCTTGTACGCAACATTGCATAAGCCAATGGGCCTAAACTGAGAAGCAAATTCCGGGTTTTCCAACTTTGGGATTAAAGAAATGAAAGTGTCATTGATCTGGTTAGGCAGCCCCTTCCCTTCCAAGCTAGCTAGGTAATATAGTCCGGTAGATTGTATCCGCAACAATCTCCTAATTCTTTTGATAGAACAACGCCTGGAACCCATCTGGACCCGGTGCCTTCAACGCCCCCATTTCCTTGAATGCGTTTTCCACCTCCAATTTTGTATAAGGTTTAACCAACCCACTCCAATCACTCGTGGAGAGCTCCAGGAACACGTCTTGGGGTATCTCAAAATATTCTGGTTCTCCTTCCTCTGTAAATAAATTCAAAAAATAGTTTACAATATGTCTTTTGATCTCCTCTTTGTCTTGCAACCATTGAACTTCTTCACCCTTGATTGCTACTATCTTATTCTTCCATCGACGCACAATTGTGCTTAGGTGGAAAAAACTGGTGTTTCGGTCTCCATGCTTAAGCCATTCAATTCTTGATTTTTGATACCATAAGATTTCTTCTCTCTCAATAACCTCATCTGCTAGAAGCCAAGGTTTGTTGTGTGAAGCAGCAAAATTTTTTACCTCTTCCTACAAATCTTTTCTTTTCAAAGGATCTGGGCTAGCATAAATAGCCGAGAAGTACCAGGGTGTAGCTCCAACCCTTGATATTTCCATTGTTATATGTTGGTTATTTTGTAAGATTGGACTTACAGTCACAACTTCAGTCTTCCAATACACCCAAATGCCCCCACTAAAACCCATAGCATCTACTCTTTCATGACCATTGAATCCTAGAATTTTCGCAACTTTGATTGCATGATCCCCTCCCATATGAGTTTCAACCAGGGCCAGGACGTTGGGATTGTGTAAACGGACAATCTCTTTTAAAGCAGAGACAAAGTTTTTGTTACCTGCCCCTTGCACATTCCATATCATGCATGAGATAGGTAGTGAGTCAACAGCCAAATTAGGTAATCTATCTTCAATGTATTTCTTTTTAATTGTTCTATTTTAGTTTTATGTATGATATCAAATGCACACTTTTAAACATGGTATTCTTAGTATAATAAAAATTAGAAAATTTTGATAATTATCAGCTATAATTATAGTCGTTTTAGTAATAACCACCAACAATTTTTATTTTATTTTATATATATATATATATATATATATATATATATATATATATATGTACACACTTTACCACCAACAATTATTTAAAACACAAAAATTACCACCTCTTTTCTCAAACCTCTAAAGTGACGTCATGGTGGGCCTCCCTAACAATTTTCCCTCAATTCTCACCTTTTTCATTCCCTCTTCTTCCTCTCTCTTCCATTTTGCCTAATTTAAAAATCAATTTGCAAATTAATTAGGCGTTATTTGGGTTTTAATTCTTCATTTTGTTCTTCAAGCCAAACGACAATACAAAAAACGAGGGCA